TTTTGATGATGGCCATTCTGACTGGTGTGAGATGATATCTCATTGTAGTTTTGATTTGCATTTCTCTAATGATTAATGATGTTGAGCATTCTTTCATGTGTTTGTTGGCAGCCTGTATATCTTCTTTGGAGAAATGTCTGTTAAGGTCTTCTGCCCATTTTTGGATTGGGTTCTTTGTTTTTTTGTTATTGAGCTGCATGAGCTGCTTGTAAATTTTGCACATGAATCCTTTGTCAGTTGCTTCATTTGCAAACATTTTCTCCCATGCTGAGGGTTGTCTTTTGGTCTTGTTTATGGTTTCCTTTGCTGTGCAAAAGCTTTGAAGTTTCATTAGTTCCCATTTGTTTATTTTTGTTTTTATTTCCATTTCTCTAGGAGGTGGATCAAAAAGGATCTTGCTGTGATTTATGTCATAGAGTGTTCTGCCTATATTTTCCTCTAAGAGTTTTAAGTGTCTGGCCTTACATTTAGGTATTTAATCCATTTTGAGTTTATTTCTGTGTATGGTGTTAGGAAGTGTTCTAATTTCATTCTTTACATGTAGCTGTCCAGTTTTCCCAGCACCACTTATTGAAGAGGCTGTCTTTTCTCCATTGTATATTCTTGTCACCTTTATCAAAAATAAGGTGACCATATGTGCATGGGTTTATCTTTGGGCCTTCTATCCTGTTCCATTGATCTGTATTTCTGTTTTTGTGCCAGTACCATATTTTGTAGCTTTGTAGTATAGTCTTAAGTCCGGGAGCCTGATTCCTCCAGCTCCATTTTTCTTTCTCAAGATTGCTTTGGCTATTCGGGGTCTTTTGTGTTTCCATAAAAACTGTGAACTTTTTTGTTCTAGTTCTGTGAAAAATGCCATTGGTAGTTTTATAGGGATTGCTTTGAATCTGTAGATTGCTTTGGGTAGTATAGTCATTTTCACAATTCACTTAATCTTCACATGAGCACTGAAACAGGTGCCCAGTGGCCTATTAAGGTATAAGATGCTTAAGAGTCAGTTACTCACGTAAGGTAATAAATTTTTTTTTTTTTCTTGGCTGCATTGGGTCCTCGTTGGGGCATGCGGGCTTTCTTTCATTGCAGCAAGTGGGGGCTACTCTTCGTTGCCGTGCGCGGGCTTCTCATTGCGGTGGCTTCTTTTGTTTTGGAGCACGGGCTTCAGTAGTTGTGGCACACAGGCTCAGTAGTTGTGGCTCGTGGGGTCTAGAAAGCAGGCTCAGTAGTTGTGGTGCACGGGCTTAGTTGCTCTGTGGCATGTGGGATCTTCCCAGACCAGGGCTTGAACCTGTGTCCCTTTCATCGGCAGGAGGATTCTTAACCGCTACACCACCAGGGAAAACCGGTAATAAGGCTTTATTCTTAGGGGTTGAGGGTTATAATCCTCTCTGGGTCTGACTCTATCCTTTTCAGCCCGTGGCTTAGGGCAGAAGCTGCCAACAGGGCTGCAATTTGGTTCCATTCAACAAAGATGTAAACACACGTGGCTAGTCCTGAGCCCTGCCTCTGGTGGAAAAACAGAAGTTGAGGTGTTTGTCCTGCAGGCTCTGGACTGGATGCTGGGCTGTGCTGGACCACCTGGCAGCCTCCTTCTAGGGCAGCAGTTATCAGATGATTCTGTCTTCCCACCCGGGAACATCTGGCGATGTCTGGAGACAGTTTAGGTTGTTACAGCTGTGGGAGAGAAGACACAACATCCCAGTGTGTCAGCAGGAAGGCACTTTAGAAACCCTCCTGGTTCATGCTTTAACAGCAGCACGGTCCTCAATTGGCAAAGCAAGTTGCAAAGGCAGGTTACAGGTAGCCTCACTCATGCCCCAGAGCATCCCCGGGACAGACACATAGTTGCCCCTATTTACAGATGAGAAAACTGAGGCCTGGAGCCGTGAAGTGATCACCTGCAATTCTAACAGCGCCAGCCTGGCAGACAAACCTAGAATCACATGTCTGCTCTAGCCCACGTTAGCTGGACTACTTTGGACACATTTCTTAACCTCTCTGAGATTGAATTGGCAAAGGAGGGTTAATAATACTGAGGGTTAATTGTAGTGCACAGTTGTAGCATTGTTGTGGGAATTACATGCGATAATGCAGTGAAGATGCGGCATAGAGCCTGGCACAGGTAAGTATTCGGTAAACATGGGTGGCTTTGTCATTGTTGTTATCTTTTCATTTCGCCCAGGCTGCTCCAGCTGTGGTGCACACACAGTCACCCCCGCTCAGTGTACTCAGATGAAATCTGCCGATAATTAGAGCAAAACGTTGAGGTTCCACTGAGCGAACTCAGAATGTTCCTGTAGAAAAGTTCAGGGTGGAGGGAAAATTATACAGGACAGAGGAGTCATTGGACTTTATCCCTTGAGTGAAAAAAGAGTGGATATATGTATATGTGTAACCGATTGACTTTGCTGTACAGTAGAAACTAACACAACATTGTAAATCAACTAGACTCCAATAAAAACTAATTTTAAAAAATAAATAATAATTAAAAAATAGTCAGCTCCTTCCTCCCTCCTCAGTCTTAACTAAAGATTCCCGACATTTGGTCCTGTGTCCCTTTCTGCCAGTGAGGGTTTTGATGCCTTCCTGTATCTTCCATAGAAATCACACGGCAACAATTTACTGCTGTGTGTGCACATCTAATCATTTTTGGACTCAAGGCAAGAATCTCTTGATAGCTAAGCCATGGCTGAACGTGCCTGATTCTTTTTTGGACTTGTTTTAGGCCAAGGTGTGCCCTGAGATTTCTCCCTTTGGAAGGATTGGCTGGGGAAATTCTCCCAGTTGTGATATTTGAAGCCCCCCCCCGCCCCGGTCTGTGGGCATCAACAGCTGGGCTATGATGGTCGTGGGTTTGGGAATCATTCTAGACATTGGTTTCATAGGTGTAGACTCAGTCCAAATTGTACCAAAACCTGCCTGCCCCAGCCTGGCCGTGGGCACTAAGGTTGTTCAAGGATATGGCTACAGGAAAACTGATTCTCACAATACTTACCCCAAATGCACCTTTGTTGTGGGATAAGATGCCATTTTCAGAGAGCTCGAGTCCCAGGTTCACTGCGTCATTTAAGTCTCCAGTGCAGCTTCTCATTTCCCAGGTGTGGACGGGCTCACAGGTTAAGTGTCTTGTCCAAGATTCCTAAAGCAGCAAGGGCCTCTGGAATTGAACCCATGACCGTCTGTCTCCCTTAGGGCCAGGTCTACATCACACTCTGTCCCCAGTGCACACAGCGCCCCTGGTCTAAGCAAATTACATGGGTATGCCTAGGGACGCCCACCTGGGCTCGGGACTTGGCCGTCACGATGTGGGCCAGACGCCGGCCTCCGTCTGCCTCTTGGCCAGGCACTTTTTTGTGCAGTGTGCAAACTACACAGCAGCACGTGGCAACCCTGAGCGCCAGCCTACAGCCTGGCCTGGCACAGAAATGCTCAGTAGGGATTTGCTGAAAGAGTGATCCCAAAGCCCCTCACCGTATGTGCCTGCGGCTCTGAGAAGCCTCTGGCCATAATCTGAAACACACAGAAAACACCAGCCCAGAGCTTCTGACAGTATGTCCTTTTTTTTTCTCTCCCTTAAAAGCGGTACGTAGATGGAGCAGTGAGTGACATCATACCCTTCTTTGATACCAAAACGACCATCACTGTTTCCCCCTTCTATGGGGAGAGTGACATCTGCCCCAAAGTCAAGTCCACGAACTTTCTTCACGTGGACTTCACCAAGCTCAGTGTGCGCCTCTGCTCCGAGAACCTCTACCTATTAACCCGGGTGCTATTCCCTGCGGATCTCAAGGTGAGGGGGCCTGGGGGCATTTAAACAGCGCTGCTGTTCAGATCCCACCTCCAGGGGCTATAGCGTAAGTACGGGCAGCCTGGATAGTAGGATTTTTTTTTTTTAATTATCCCAATGATTCTTATTTGCATCCATGGTCAAGAACTACACTGCAGGACTTCCCTGGTGGCACAGTGGTTAAGAATCCGCCTGCTGAGCAACTAAGCCCATGCACCACAACTACTGAGCCTGCACTCTAGAGCCCATGAGCCACAACTGCTGAGCCCATGTGCTGCAACTACTGGAGCCAGTGTGCCTAGAGCCCGTGCTCCGCAACAAGAGAAGCCACTGCAATGAGAAGCCTGTGCAATGAAGAGTAGCCCCCGCTCGCCACAACTAGAGAAAGCCTGCGCGTAGCAATGAAGACTCAGTGCAGCCAAAAAAAAAAGAACTACACTGCATTTGGTGGTTTAATTTTTTTTTTTTTTTTTTTTTTTTTTTGGCTTGTGGGATCTTCAGAGATTGAACCTGGGCCCTTGGCAGTGAAAGCTCGGAGTCCTAACCACTGGACCGCTGGGGAATTCCCAGTTTAATCTTTTTTTGATTGTCGTTGTAGCGTGGTGGACCCTATCACCCTAACATAGTAAGAAAGTGGGTAGAATCTGCACAGTGCCAGTTCTCTGGGGAGAAGGAAGGCCGTGCCATGCAATGTATATGTCAGCGTGTGCTCGCGGGGAGAGGGAAGGCTGGACAGCAGGATTGGTTTGCCCGTGTGGTTTGTACACCGAGGAGCAAAGGAGGCAGCTCTTACTGTCCCACGACAAGAAGATCAGGCCCTGGTGTTTGTTAGGGTGGAGGCTCGTCCAGGGACCCAGGGAGACCAGAGAAACCAGCACCCGTCATGCTGGGGTGCCAGCTGCACGGAGGAGGTGTCATTCGAGCTGAGTCCTGCAGGAAAGCAGAGCCCTGTCCCACCCCGCAGTGGCTGCGCTGGGCACATGGCAGCGGCTTGGAGCTTGGGGGATTCTTGGCTTTGGGTCTGCCGTCTTCGGGTGATGTTGAAAGGAATGGTGCCTAGTGACTGCCCCCCTGCAGTTAATTTACTTGATTTGTTCACAGGTGCTTGGAGAGCTATGCTTTCAAGGATATTTAGACACGGTCAGGTTCTTGGAAGAGAATGGTATGTATGGTAGGGCAACTGAAGTGCCCCTTTAACAAGCTTTCTGTTCACAGTCTTGGTCCACAGTCTTGACTCCATCACTCAGCGCTCAGCACCTTCACCCACCGTCTCGCTCGGCCCTCTCATTAGTCCCGCGAGATAGGAAGTATTTGCCCCATTTTACAGATGGGGAAACAGAGGCTTGGAGAGGCAGCCCAGGTCCGCACGCCACTCACTGGGGAGCAGAGCTGGGACCTACCTGAACCCGGATGTCACAGCCCTAGGGCTATTAGCTCTCCCTCTGCAGTGTCACCTGTCTGTGTGCTGAAGGCAGTTCCTTTGTTTTTCTTTTCTGCTTTTGGACAATTGTGAACCTTTAGTTTGATAAAGAAGGAAGATAAACAGTTTCTGGGCCGCAGGTGACAGAATAGCTCCCGCTCCCTCGAGGCGGGTGTGGGCCACGCCCACTAGCCCAGCTGTGTTCTGGGGAAGGTTCCTGCCTTTGACTTATCCTGGCTCGTCCAGGCTGGGGGACTTGGGTTCTGGAAATGTTAGAGTGGAACCAAATATGTTTGGGGCTATTTTTCTTCGATACTAAAGGTTGGTTCATGCATTAATCCTCTGAATTAGCCTTTGGCCAAGACCAAGGAGATGGTGTGGTTCACGGGACATACATGTATTTATCTACTCAGAAAATGTTTACTGCGTACCGTCTAGGTGCCAAGCAATTGACGACTCCACAGCGAACAGACGGATGTGGCCCCTGCCCACCTGGAGCTTAGTCCCGTGGTTGTTGCCGAAATATTGGCTTCCCTGTGCACCGATGCCGAACAGAAATATGGAGACAGAGATTTTGGAGGAAGACAGAGATTGCTTTATTTTTCTGCCAGGCAGAAGGGAAGACACAGCAGCCTAGGGCCTCAAGAACTGTGTCCCCCCTGCTTTGGGAATCGGAGAAGATTTTATATGTGGGGCTCGCAGTCTGGGGTATATGATAAGGGTCAAAGTAGTGAAGGTCTTGCATTCTTCTTCTTCCTGCATTATTTCAGAATAGTCACAGCTGGTGTCATGTCAGGCAGCCAGGTAATTGGGTCCGTTTGTCTCTGGGTTATTGGCCTGTGACCTTTTTTCTGAAATGCAAATCCTGCAAGGGGTGATTTGCTGCAAGGGAGTGCAGGATGTAATTCACGTAATGTTAAAGAGTCATAGGTTAGCTTTGTGAAGTACAGATCGAGTTACAGAAACTACAGGTTAGTAACAGTTAAGAAACACGACTAGGAGTGATGAACTCTTTCAGGCCACGTTATGATTCTTCTCTTTCTCTAGTCTGTTTCACTGTTCCCTTTATTTTCCTTGTTCTCAGGAGAGGGAAAACTTCCATTTCTATTTTTGCTGCAACATGGTCGGGGACAGATATGTCAAGAGAAGGCTGACGGTGTGCTCGGTTGCCCTGGCAGGAAGATACAGGATGCTGTAGGATCACACAGGGAGTGAGGGGATCTGCAAGGCAGGGGAAAGCAGGGCTTCAGGAGGGTGTGAATCCGTGTTGACACTTTGAGGGCGAACAGGAGCATTCTAGGCGTGGGGGACGTGAACACGAGGTGCAAAGAAGGCGTGTGTAACTGGAGTGGTGGGAGTGGGGCACCCAGAGAGATGGACAGAAAGGAGAGGGGCGGGAATGGCAGTAAGTGAAAAGTTGAGGGACAAGGTTGGGCCTCACGGATGTGGTGAAAGGGTCTGCATCCCACAGCAATAGAGAGCCACGGAGGGCTGCCGAGGCGGGAGTGAGGGTGGTCAGAGGGAGCTTTGGAAGCCCCCCCCCGCCCCTGGCCGCAGTGCAGAGAGTGTGATGGCAGCATCCAGGAGGTCAAGGAGGCCGCCGTGGGCTTGGCCGGGGTCACGGCAGCAAGGGTGGTGGAAGGGGCCCAAGGGGACAGGACTTGGAGGCAACCAACCAGAGATTCAGGAGGAGGAAGACTTAGGGATGAAGACCTGGCCTCTGGCTTCTGCAGCCGGCACTGGGGGAGAGGGGCTCTGCTCAGTGTTCAGGCCCTCAGGAGGGCGAGGGTTCTGCAGGGAAGCTCAGGCCCCGTGTGCCGTGCCCCGGGGGCACATTTGGGTGGTTGTGCAAGAAGCACAGTGATGTCAGAGTCCGAGGTTCTGGAAAGCATTCTGGACTGGGGATGAAATTTGGAAGCAACATGGGAATAAAGAACAGTGATGGACCCTGTGGAAGTTACTAGGTGACTTTGGGCAAGCCACCTCCCCTCTCTGGGCCTCCGTTTCCACATCTCTAGCAAAAGACATTTGGATTAAATGACGCCAGGTGATTCTTAGTAATCCTAAAGACTGGCATGTGGCTGGGTGCTTGCGGCATCGGTGCTGGGTTTGGGTTTAATGATCTAAGAGAGGTCCTCCCTCTGCCAGGCTGGCCGCCTCGGGGTCCTGCAGAGGACCCGTGGGGCTGGGCCAGGTGTCCTCTGGGAACAGATTCTCTGAAACATGCCTAAGGGAAAGTAAGTCCCAGGGTGTGAGCTGTGTGTCTAAAAGAGGCCGGAAAGATCCAGGGGAGCGTAACTGGGAGCTGTAACTTGGAAGCAAGGTGTGGGCATCCAGGGGCAGCCCCTGGTCTTTTTTTTGTGAATTCTTCTTCTTGCATCCTCTTTTATTTTTTTTTAATTAATTAATTTATTTTTGGCTGCGATGGGTCTTTGTTGCTGCGCATGGGCTTTCTCTACTTGCGGTGAGCGGGGGCTACTCTTCGTTGCGGTTCGCGGGCTTCTCCACGGGCTCTAGGAGCGCAGGCTTCAGTAGTTGCAGCACGCTTGCTCAGTAGTTGTGGCTCACGGGCTCCAGAGCTCAGGCTCAGTAGTTGTGGCGCACAGGCTTCGTTGCTCCGCGGCATGTGGGATCTTCCCAGACCAGGGCTCGAACCCGTGTCCCCTGCCTTGGCAGGCGGATTCTTAACCACTGCACCACCAGGGAGGTCCAGCCCCAGGTCTTTTAATCTGAGGTTGGAAGCAAGAGGTGAGCCGAGGCAGGCGTGGGCATCCGAAACTACCTGTCCCACTGCCCCCACCCAGTGTGCGAGCAGGAACCACCCACTGGTATTGGCTCCTGAGCCCCGGCACCTAGGGCAGGGCCTGCACAAACCCCCTGACCTAATGCTTCTTTCAAGGCCGTGTGATGGAAGGGTGCCATCTTTGACATCACATCTCGGTTCGATTCTCGCTGTGCCACGTATTGGCTGTGTGGCTTTGGACAAATCTCTTAACCTCTCTGTGCTTCTGATTCCTCAGCTGAAAAGCGGAGATGATGATAATGGTAGCAGTTGAATGGCTGCTGCATGGCCTGGACCGCTGGCTTAACCAGTGGTTCCGTTACTATAAATTAGTTATAACCCTTAGCTTTGAACATCAAGAATCCACACGTGGCTCCAGAGCCCACACAGCTGGTGAGTGATGGAGCCAGGCGCCCTCGTCACATCCATCCGGCGTCAAAGCCCCGCACTCCTTTCTCCCTGCTAGGACTGCCTGCCCTCGTTGATCTCCGCCTTGTACTAATAACAGGCCTGCAGCTTCCCTCTAATTCGGTGGGCAGGTGTGTGTGAGTGAGTAATGACCCCGCCGCCCGAAATTGCCTGACGGGTTTGTTTCTGTGCCCTTCGCAGGCATCTGTGACAGGCCGCCTCTGTGCCTGAGTGCATCCCCAGCAGAGTCGGAAGTCCTTGAGGCCCCCTGGGAGCACGGGAGCCTGCAGTCTTCCCCGAGCATGGCCGCCGGGGAGGCGAGGCCTGAGGAAGCCACACTGCTGGATCACCCACACCTCAGCATCCTGCCCTGGGACGACAGCACCCTGGAGACCCTGTCGCCCAGGCTCACCATAGGTGCCGGCCCTGGGGGCGGGACGGCAGAGGCTCTCTGTGACCCTTTATGAGGCAGAAAGGTGGCTTCTCTGTGTGTTGTGGAGGAAGGTCATGCAGCTGCGTGGGAAGAGATGGGGCGGAGCGACTAGGGCAGGCCCGTTGGGACCCACACCGCCCAGCACGGGCCTCCCATCCCCCTGGGTCCTTGCCCAGTCTCCCTTCCCATGGGGCCTGGCCAGAGGAAAACAACCTCCAGCTGAGTTTTGTGTTAACTGGCTGTGCTCTCTGCTCCTAAAGTCCAGGCACGCTGGATATTGGGGGGGACCCCCGGAGGTGGCCTGTTCTTTGAGAACGCCGTTCTCCTCCTGTCCTCCCATCTCAAAGCCTTTTCTCTCTCAAGGAGCCCCTCCTAATTTCTCCCTCCCCGCAAAATCACAGTTTTGAACCTTCACTGAATCTGGTTATTTAATCGTGTCATCGATTATATAATGGATAGATGAATGCACCGTCCAGCTTCCAGCTGGGCATTTGGGGAAATTCAAAGATGAACGGCACAGGGATTTCCCTGGAGGTCCAGTGGTTAAGACTCCGAGCTTCCAATGCAGGGGGTTAGGGTTCAATCCCTGGTCGGGGAACTGAGATCCCACACACCGCAGGATGTGGCCAGAATAGAATAGAATAAATCAAAGACGGAATGGGATGCCCGGTTCTTGCCCCTGAGGCACAAACACCCAGGAGTTGCACTAACCAGCAGCTGCTCAGATTCCTGCGATTTGAGGCATCCGGAGGTCATTACAAAGGGGAAATAGAAGGCTAGGGGGTTCCAGGCAGAAGAGATGGAATCCAGCTGCAGGTGCAAAGAAGAGCTCATAAAACTGGGGCCAGGGGCACTTTGAGAAGTTTGTGTACGCCTCCAAAAATAGCCAGTTTAAAAGAGAGTCTTTAAAAGGGACCCTGTACCCTGTAGATGATCCAAGGGCTACTTGGGCACATTCCCCATCTGATCTCTTTTGTGGACGCTTCTGATTCTTGGGCTGCCAGGATTTGTATATTTCACAGAAATTCCAAGCACCACCCGGGGAAGATGGTTTGGTTTTTACACTGGTGAGAGACAGACCTCCCAATTGTATTTTTCAGCCCTGAGGGAAGCAATTGGAAACCAAGATGGGTACATAAGCAAGATGTGCAACTTCTTACCAATTAAGGTCATGTCCTACCTGGTGCTGCCCTGCACGCTGCCCGTGGAGTCCGCGATTGCTATGGTCCAGAGGTGAGCGCTTCACGTGGCTTTGTGGCATCCTCATGGAAGTGGGGCGAGGATTCAGTGAGAGAAGCAGTGGAAGGCCCTCGGCCTGGGGCCTGGCTCCTTATACATTGGGGTGGAGTTCACGGTCAGCGTGGAACACCTTGGAAAGGTGCCTCGTTGGCAAGCCCCTGCCCACCCCTCCTCCTTTCTCACTGCTGTTACATGTCTGTCACTTCCTGTAGGTCTGCACTTCTATTTTGGGATTTTTTTTTTTTTTTTTTTTGCGGTACGCGGGCCTCTCACTGCTGTGGGCTCTCCCGTTGGGAGCACAGGCTCCGGACGCGCAGCCCCAGCGGCCATGGCTCACGGGCGCAGCCGCTCCGCGGCATGTGGGATCCTCCCGGACCGGGGCACGAACCCATGTCCCCTGCATCGGCAGGCGGACTCCCAACCACTGCGCCACCAGGGAAGCCCCTATTCGGGGATTTTATTCCTGGTATGTTGGAGGGATCTGAGGCCAACGCTGGGATGCCTACCGGATTCCTGAGCGTTTGTTTCCCCTCGGTTTTCTTCTGATGTACTTTGGTGTTTACTTTCTTTTTAGCGAGTTAGTCAACATGTCCCTCAGTCCATCTTTCAAAGTCCCGACCGTCCTTCAAAATCAAGCTCAGTCCTCCAGCTTTGGTCATCCTCCCCGGAGCCCCTCTCCACTGTGCCAAATCAGCCACCCGTTCCCGCACAGCCTTGCCCTGGGTTGAGGGCTGCTCTGGCATTTCCCAAAGCCCGAGATGTGGGGTCCTTTTCATGTCCTGGGTGCTGGGAGTCTGGGGGGCAGTGGTCAGGCCTTCTTGGGGGCTCCCTCTGCTGCGCTTGCATGTGGCCAAGCCCAGGAGACCTGGGCGCAGGGGGTGGTTCTCGACCGCAAGATGCTCTGCGTCGGTGGCCATGTTGCCACAGAGGAGTAGGATCCTGGAAAACCAAGGTCTTTTCCTTTTATTTCCATCTAAGTCCCTTGAGCGTTCCCAAATCAAAAAATGGGCTAATTTACCTTTGGGCTTTTAGGTTGGCTTGTCTTTGGGAATTTATCACATCGGGGTTAGGAGTGACCCCGGCAGTTTCCATGGACCATGGTGTCGTTGTAAGATGTCTGCCTTTGGTTAGGGCTTGGTTTTGTTCTTTTTGGTTGGTTTCTCTTCCTGCTCATACAACGTGGGCGTCTCTCTGTTTTATTCCTGCAGACTGGTGATGTGGCTTCCAGACATGCCCAGCGACATCCAGTGGCTGTGGTGGACGACCTCCCGGATTTGTTCTCGAGTGATGACGCGTTTGCTCCCTGTGGAGCCCTACATCAAGGACACAGGACAAAAACTCCTGAATTAACCAAGCCCGCATAGCAACTGTTGCCATGGGCTCTCCTAATCTAAACCGCACAGCCCCACGACTCCACAGTAGGTAAAGTATTCACCATGTAGCAACCTCGAAGCACCCTGACCAATCGCCTGATGCCATGCTGCCAGCAGGAGTTTTCTTTGTCTTGAGGCTATAAAAGTTGGCCACTAGCCCACAGAGGGGGTCGGCTGTCCGTGCTCTGTCAGGAAGTGGGCCCGCTGTATCTGCAGCGCCCCTCGCTAACTCTGCACTTTGTTCTCAGTAAACTCACTCCTTTCTAAGATACTTCGTGTCTGGAAATTCTTCCAACCCGCGCGCGCGGACGCGACACTCCCCGCTTCCACGTAGATGATCTGGCTGTGGGGCTGTGAGTCCGACAGGCACCCTCTCATCTGCTCAGGCCTCATGTGCCATTCTAGAAACGTCGTCGGGCCCCGGATAGGTGGCAAGGAGCTTACCCTCTGGTGCAGGAGGTCCTGTCTTATGGGAGGCGGCTGAGCCAATCAGAGGTCTCAGAGCACCTGCTGAAAGCTAATAACCAAGACTTACCTGCACAGGATGTGGTGAAGCCCAGGGAGGGGGCGGGGAAGCGCGTCCACTGGGCCTAACTGACGGCAGAGGGGGAGAGAGCCGGCCGATGGACCTGGGGCAGGGCAGAGGGACAGGTGCAGGTCAGGGAGGGTCAGGTAGCATTGGTTTGCCTAAAGGAAGTAGCTCTGGGTGCTGGGAGCACAGGGAGGGGGTGGAGTACGGAAAGAGAGGCAGGGCCCCTCAGAGTGTGTGTGTGTTGGGGGGCGGAGGGTGGGATGGGGTACCTGTTAATGCAGATTCCCGTCTGAATCACGGTCTCTCCACATGGAACCCGGCAATCTGCGTCGTTAACGTGGCCCGGATGCTGCTGCTGCTTTCTGAATTCTGAAAACTAATTCGGAGGAAGAAGGGCCTGGTGTCAGTTACCAGGGTGGGATCTTATCCTGAAGATCGTGGGCCTCGGCTTCCTCACCTGTACCATGGGGGTGACCCTCCTCTCCTCATTAGGTTTCTGCGAGGCTTCGGGGAGCCCCTAGCACAGTCCCGGCCACGTGGTGGGCACTGGGGAGAGGAGCCCACGGTTGTTTTTGCTATTAGCAGACACGGAAGTGTTTGAAGCAGGGAGCGGAGGGATCCGGTTTGCTCTGGGAAGTGACGGTAGTGGCCGCGTGGAGGAGGCCGACCACCCGCAAGTGGACTCGCCGCCCACTCAGCTGTCCTGGTGGAAGGTCCTAGAATGACTGGTGTTTGGAGGGGGTGTGGGGTGGGTAGAGGGAACCCTGTGGCTGGGGGCTGGGCTGCCCTTTGTGCAGTCTTGGGGGTTGGAAGGAAGAAAGGAGTAGGGTCCCATCTTTCCGTACAGGAGGCAGTTACTTTGGGGCGAGGGGGGTGCCATCCTCCAAGGACACCCTTGGTTAGGGGGGCATTAAAAGATGGTAACTTATTTACATTCTGGTACATCTTTTTGACCTACTCTAAATATTTGAAAGTTCTATATTAATTATAAGGGAATCTTTGTATTTCCTGTTGAATTATATATTATGGGAATCAGTGAGATATTCATAGAAGAAGCCTTAAAAAAAAAAAATCCAGTTCAGGGACTTCCCTGGCGGTCCAGTGGTTAAGACTCCGTGCTTCCACCGCAGGGGGCGCAGGTTCGATCCCTGGTCGGGGAACTAAGATCCTGCGTGCTGTGCGGCGTGGCCAGAAAAAAAAAGAAAAAAACTCCAGTGCACAAGACGTTCACCCTGGCACCCCCAGGTCCTCGCCTGTCCTCTCCACTTGCAGAGCCCTAATGGAGATGAGCGAGAGGCAGGTACCCACCTTCTCTCCAGGGTGGTAATTTGTTGGCAAGCACGGTGCAATATGACCCAAGGTGAAATGTGTGTGTCTGTTTTTCTTATTTATGCATTTGAGCATAACAAAAAGAAAAGAAACAATGGTAAGCTCAAAATCGTAAATGTTGCCCCCAAAAGTTGCAACTCTCACCCACACCGTGTATGTGTCCTGGAGTTGCAGAGCCAGCAAGGTCAAACCCAGCACTCCACTGCGAGGACGTACACTTTAGAGGAGAGTGTGGTTCTGGGGGCAAAGCCTGCGCGAGCCTTGCTATGGTCATGAGCACCGAGAAGGCAGCGGCTGCTCGTGAAAATACGGGGTCGGCACGCGGTGCCAAGCTGAGCTCCTCGAGTTTGCAGGGGCTCCCGTGCTGGTAGCGCTCCCTCCCTGAGTGAGGCAAGGCTGTGAGTGGTGGGCTTCCCCGGCCACCTGGGCCCCAGAACAAAGCACTGTCCACTATGCTGAGCTGGCCTGGAGTGAGGGAGGTGTCGCCTGCCTGACACCCACCTGGACTCCTGGTGACACACCCTCATACCTTCCCCGAGCCCGACTGTCAGGGTTCCCAGTGGCCTTTTCCATCAGAACCACAGCGTAGGTCTAAGCAGATACAACCGCACTTCAGCAGTGTTTTATAGTAGCCAGGATATTTCCGTGTAGATAGTATTCTATACACCAGTTCTGTGATCATTATAAGGCAAGAAATATGTTAAGATAGGATTACGTGGGACTTATTTTCTTGCTACTTTTTGTAATTATTCAACCTTCTTATGATGAGCATATGTTTTATAATTTTTAAAAAATGGACAGTGAGACAAGGAAGTGCATTACGTTCTTAGAAACAGCCAAGGCTACCCTCCCACCTGTGCCTTAAGTGCTACCCCATCTCTTCGTCTTTGTGCTCCCAGAAGTCACTCACCCCACATCCTCACCAGTCCCCCGACCAAGGCCCTCACCTCTCCAGCACGGCTGGTTTCTCATCAGCATGCAAAACATGCTCACGTTCCTCTCACCTTGTTAAATAAAAGCCTCCCTCTATTTATGGTCCATTTACGCCCTGGGGAATCATCAGTGCAGTCTGTTTAATGCCAGGGAGCAACAGTCTCTCTGGTAAACAGCAGAACTTGGTGCAAAGCATGAGCCCAGTCCTGTTAAAAATGAAGACGTGTGTGGGCGTGTATGTGGAGAACAGAGACTGAAAGGATGTATGCCAGGACACCGACAGTGGTTAGCAATATGCCATTATCTGTAATTGCATTGTATATTGAATTTCCAAGTATTCCTTTCATCGGAAAATCATTTATAATAAACGTGATCGTGAAAGTGCTTTCCCTCGTCTCTGCATCTTTCGCGAGGAGCCACAGCGCTGCTGTCCTTGCCTCACAGCCAGGCTCCTTTAACGTCCCCTGCGACCTCCCCACCCCCAAGGTTTATGGTCCCGCTGCCCCAGACGGCCCTGCCGGGCCAGGTGGCCTCCACATGCTCTGTCCTGGACACGGAGGGCCAGACCCTCCTTCCCAGATCCCTCTCCTTCCTCTGGGACTGCAGACTCCCCGATGCCATCCTGGCTACCGGGCTCTTCCCCAGGGCTGGGGCGTGCACACAACCACGCCTGGGGAGGCCTCGCTCACTCCGAGGAACCCCCTCCCCCCTCCGGTCTCTGGCTCAGGTGAGGGCCCACCTACCCCCCCTACCTACCCCCCCATCGGCTCCCCAACATCCTCCCTCCAGTGCAGAGCCCTTCAGCTCCCTCATCAGCTGTCCTGGTTCTATCAACAGCCGAGTCACCTGAGCCAGGAACTGGGGACGCACTGAGTCCCCCCACCCTCTCCTCCAGCCTGCCCCTGCCCTGGGCTGCTGCAACGACTTCCTGGTGGGCTCCCGTGGCCTGCACCCCGCCTCAAACCCGGACAAGTCACCCCCACCTCCCCACACGGAGAAGCTGCCTTCCTCCTGGGCATCCCTCCCTCGGTGCCCCCCCGGCAGCTCGGAGCCTGGTCCTCCGGCACCTGCCTGCTCACCCCGGGCCTCTGCCTCATGCCAGTGCCCGTGCCCTTTCCTCTCACCGGCTCACCTTCACTCCTCAGGCAACAGGCGCTGGGAACATGGGGGATGGAGGCGAGCCCCTCACTCAGGGTGCCCGCCCTCTGGGAAAGGAATAAGGAGACCCAGGCTGCAGCCGCAGGGAGTCCATACCACAGGATGCCCCAAACTAAGAGTAGGGGTGACCTCTACGGCGATCTGTGAAGACCCAGCGTCCCTTCCTCGTGGTCTCTGAGATTTGGGGTTTGACTTTATCCAGGGGACCAGTGTAGTCACTCATCTTCATTCCTCTGAGTGACGGGACCAGATCAGCACTTCATAAACCAAATCTTCTGGAAGGTTGTGTCCTTGCAGATGGCGCTAGGGATTTTATCAGTTAGGATAGACGGGGTTATGCTGTGTTTAACAAAGACTCCCAGACTCCCAAAAGGTTCACTCCTCAGACTACATGCCCATCGGACTTGGCTGACCCAGGCTGAGCCTGTCCCAGGCCCTCGAGGGTCGGAGTGAACGGTGGGGGAGGAACACAGTGCTTAAAGGTCTCCATCCAGAGTGACACCTCTCCCTTCTGCCTATAGCTAGTGGACCAAAGCAAGTCACATAGATGGGGGAAATGCAAGTAAGTCTACCTTTTGCCCAAAAGAGGAACAGCAGAGATTCTGGTGAACAGTGCCACTGACAGTCACAGAAAACCTCAAAACCCAAAAAGTCTTTAAGACAGAATAAATAACCCAGGAAATACCGAGGTAAAGAAAGCGAAATGCAGGATTTCTGAGAGCCTCTAAAATGTTAATGTACCAGGAATTCCCTGGCAGTCCAATGGTTAGGACTCCGAGCTTCCACTGCAGGGGGCACAGCACGGGGTGGTTCCTGGTTGTTGGAACTAAGATCCCGCATGCTGTGCAGCGAGGCCAAAAAAAAAGTGAATGTACGTTGTGACCGTCAGAGAGGGTAGAGCTGTGTCGTTGTGCTCCTAACGTGTCCTCTGCCACCCTGGCCCTTGTACACAATAGGGCTCTCAAATGGTATGTTTGGCTCAGGGCTCTTGTTGTAATATGCAGGTCAAAGTCATGGCTTCTCCTTGAGAGGAGGCTTATTTAAGAGAATAACAAGGAAATGCAGGAAGAAAAGTCTAGTTTATTCAGTGTTTACAGTGTGCCAGGCCCCATGCTTTAAGTTCATTAAATCCTCACTATACCATTATGCTTTAAGAACTACTATCCCCATTTTACAGATGAGAAAACTGAGCTTCAGGGAACCAGGAGCATGAATTTTTGAATAAGTGTCCAGCCTCTGTGACTTGTGCTTAAAATTTGTTTGGTCTCCTAGATTATCTTTGGAGATCTCTGCCCAAGTTTTCACACCTAAAACAGCCTTTTGAGTTTGAGCTG